TTCTTTTTAACTTAACGGATAATTTTAGAAAACCTGGTGGTAGAACACCCCCCCCCACCACGACTAAGCAGATCCAACTCAATGTCTTATATCCCATCTTAGGTGCTAAGTATCATTTCTCCTGATAGCACATCACGCCTGATTGAACGGAACTCACCAAAACGGATCAATTGCGGGGCTTCAGTTTCTTACGTCGTAAGTCACGCATGAATAATGTGAAAGTCGGATTGTTGCGCCATATCGGTTTTGCGTGAAACTCACTAACAACAGAAAATAACTTTGCGGAAACCAGCGAAACTATTTCATATATTGGGGAGTTCCCAAACGACCAGTTGCACTTTTACTCTCGGGTAATAAATAATAATAAAGATCAAGTAATAGTACACTGAGGTCTCCAGTCTCCACGATATAGAAAATTCAGCAAACGAAAAGCGATCCATAGCATGCACCTTCTGTTTACTTATTTCTGGTCATGCTGTTACTCGTAGGAGGATTTTTCTCCCAGGTCGCTCTCACTAAGGAGTGCCACTTCGGTTGAATTTACCTTTTGTTGCAAATTAGGGTGAGCTCACTGGCATAAATGGAAACGTCACTCACAAAATTTCGCTTCTTTGGGCCGCGAAAATGTTTAGCCAATGAACATGATCCGCACTACGGCGTCCTGGGTTGGCAGAGTGCTGTGTTGGTCCTACAGCAAAAGCGATCAGTGGCCGAATTTCAATTTCTCAACGCAGTAAAAACATACATTTACTGCTTAAATTTCGGTAACTTAAACATGGAGTATAGACAAAGCTGATTAGTACTGGAGAGGAGCCTGAAGGGACAAAAAATCAGTGGAAGCTCACAGAAAAAGAAATTTGCCGGATATCTTAGGCAACACAAATGCTAGTGAATAATGAACAAACTATCGTAGAATCCGACCAAATATCTTTATACTGAGAATGCTTGCTAGCATAACTGTAAGTTATTTCTTCTAATCTGAAGGACTCATACATTCAAAATTAGGAGAGAGAATGGAACGTTGTTTCCAGTTGGGAAACCAAAACTGATGATGCGATGCAGAAATAAAGCACTCTGGTGTTCGGAAGGTGGCCGCTGGTCTGTTCGTTTAGTTTGGCAGCTTTTTTCGAAACATTTTTCACAACCATTCTCAGAGAAACTGCCAGTGAACAATTGGATGTATTGTTCTAAGAATTCCAAGTACAGCATGAGCACCTGTTATGTCTGCTGATTCGTCAATCTGTGATGTCTGCTGCTGACCCGCTCCAGTGACCAGTTGCGGAAAAAAGACAGAAGGGAACACAATAGCTATATTCCGAACAAGCGAATGCGAGTGCAAAAGTACAACGGTCTTAAGCTATTTATTGGGGGGACACTGTCTGAACCTAGTCCAATGCTGACGCACGCGACTGCATTTTTTGCGAGGCTGTGACGTGCTGCATATTGCAGAGGCGTTGTCTGACCTTGATCAACGCTGACTCGCGCTTTCTGGGTTAGATACAAGTCTGTGGCGCGCTGCATATTGGGGGCGGGGAGCATTGTCTGTCTGGTCAACGTCTAGCGGAGCTGAGAGTGTCAGAATATTTCCAGCATTCAGTGGTTGCTTTAAGGAATGTGACCTTCCTGATAGCACCCATGTTCATGTTAGTCCAAAGCTTGCGCAAGACACTAGTGACCAACGTGCTAACTTACAACGAAGAATACATTTGCATAAAAAACATGGAAGAATCATAGCTGCTGCCCTTTCCTAGGCATGCCTGTCGACGAAAACTTCTCACAGACTAGGCTCATTGAGATCACTCGCGATGTTTCCAAGACTGGTGACAAAATGCTTCCGAACCAATTGTCGAGCTGGGCGGAAAGATGAATAGTCATCTGATTAAAAACCATTCAGGATATTTATATTAACCATATTCCGAAAACCAAATAAAAATAAAACCCATATTGTCAGAAACTGTAAACGTCTAATATGCTAGTGAATGCGTGCCCAATAGAAATAATCACGAAGATGGTGTAATTGGCTCCTCCGGTACATGCGAGTAGAAAAACACAAATGAAAATGTGCATGGAAGAAGAAAAGTGAACTTACATTAACTTACGTAATACTGCTGGCGGCTGCCCACACTCCAAAAAAAGAGATTGTTTGAAGCCGCGCAGACGAAAATCAAGTTCCGAGGACCACAACTATCTACAAATAAACGTTTGACGCCGAACGTCACCGTAGTAGTGCAAACAGCTGGCGTATCACAAGTCAAGTAGGATGTGCAGACTGCAAACCGTGGCGAAAAGGCATCTGCCAGTGGAACTTTTTGACAAAATACAATTTGCGGAAATGCTAACGACTTTTCGTGAAAAACGAAATGAACCATGACAATATTCTGTGATTCAGAAAGCTAATCTAATTCAGCAGAAGATGGGGCGTCCGGTCTGAGGGAGGATAGCCACACATTGTTGACTATAGAAATAAATAAACAAGGGTAAAGGGTAAGGGTACCGACAAATTTACACCCGAAAATGAAATAGAGCGCTGCTGATAATGCCTAGGTTATACTGAGATTCCTTCAAACAGCATCTGTTAGACTGCAAAACCTCTTTGATAAGCTTGAATTGTCATCCTATTTTACAACACAAAACATAGCCCCGAATAATTCCCAAATCGAAAAAACCTACCGGTCGGAGATACAGGGATTAAACACTTCAAAGATGGTCGAGTGACCGCTGAACATGGCACTAGGCTGGAAAGCGCTTGGCTAGCATTCTGTAAAAAGCCACCAGTGCGCGCTCGTGGGTAGTTGTGTTTCTTAATTCATAATAAGGTTGGGCGGGTACGTTATCGTGAGTATAACGATTCACCTCCTGTTTTACTAGCAACGGCGAATTCGTTAAGATGCACTAAAGAGAGTGTGCTCACAAAAAATTCATATGAGGAACATAGATGTTGCGTACAGGCATGTCGGTGGATTAACGTTTCCTCCAGACTACCTTCTTCGAGAGAGACTCACGATGGTTCCACGAACGGTGACAAACGCTCCCACATCAATCGTCAAGCTGAAAGAACAGATGAACTGTCATCTGGTCAACAGCCATTCAAGACATTCGTGTTACCAGTATTCCGACAAATATTGAAGAATAAAGCCCATTTGAAAAAATAGTCTGCATGCACATTTAAAACAGCCACGAAGATAGTGTTATAGCCTTCTCGCTA